GCCGATCTTTGTTAATTCTAATCCCTTCCGCCTGCCAGTTAAGATTATCAAAAACGTGTTGTAGTACCATTATGAACAGCTTAGGTGAGAGAGGGTCTCCTTGTACGCTGCCTCTACGGATCGGTATATCAGGACCTCGCGTCTCCATTTTTGGATGGCTTAGGGCTAACTTGCTAAATGTTTTCAGTACTCTTACATAGTTTTCTAGTAGCATTTATTCAGCGCTTCCCAAATAGCAGCATCAGAGATCGTATCAAACGCTTTGGCGTAGTCAATGAAAGCAATGTAAAGTGGCTTGTTGAATTCCTTGTATTTCTCCATTACTTGTTGTAAAACTTGTATATGATCCGTTGTAGAAAATCCAGAACGAAACCCTGCTTGTTCTACTGGCTGATAGTTATCTATCTGCGGGCTCAGCCGGCTTTGTAGTATTGACGTGAACAGTTTGTATACACTTGAAAGAAGACTAATCGGGCGGTAGTTAGATATGTCTTGAGGGTGTCCTTTCTTGTATATAAGGATTATATCAGATCTTTTCCATTGGATCGGTACTTGGCCTATGTTCAGAACCTTGTTGAATAAATACATAAGTGGCCGACTTAGTAGGATAGCGCCAGCTTTCAGTGCTTCATTTTGTATGCCGTCAGGACCAGGGCTTTTATGTGGTCTAAGTTTGCTGATATGTTTTATGACTTCCTTCTCATCTACTGGTGGCAATTCATTCGTGTTTTGAGAGTTTGATATTGTATAGATATAGAAACAAAATAAGAGAACAATAGAATAAAGATAAAAAAAATAAAACAAAAAAAGAAAAAATAACACAAAAATAGAAAAAAAATAAAATTCTCTGTAGAAGTTTGTGGGCGCATTCATGATATCATTTCTGGTTTTGTTTCTTCTGATTTAAAAAAGAAAGAAATATATAATTATAAAAAGATATAAAAGAATCCAATTTTTGTGTGCTCAATTTCTTATAGGCTTTTTTCGTACTTCTGTATTCGTTTAGGTTATTTTCAATGATTTTATGTCTATATTCTTTGTAGTCTTTATCTATTGCCTTACTTGTAGTTTTAAATAGTGTGCTTAGTTCTTCCTTCATTTCTTTCGTTTTTTGTTTTATTTTTAGCAGTTCCGTTCGTCTTGTGAGAAAAGTTTTTGTAGACTCGCTAAGTATTTTATTAATCATTTTTTGTTCTTTATTTTTTGATCTGCAAGCAAGGCTGGTGTTGATGATGTTAGCTAGTTTGTTGTAAAAAGGTTGAATATCTTCTTCTTGGTATGTTTCCAGTTGACGTATATTGATCTCAAGGTTTTTTAAGTATGAAGATGTATCCTCATTTGTCCTTAGTAGCTTAGGTTGTGCATTAAATGATGTTCTGCTCTTCTTACCTTGTTCTAGCGTGTACGTAGCTCTAACTAAACGATGGTCAGATCTGAATCCAAAGCCATGTAGTACTTCTATGTTTCTAATCCTTTTGGGGTGGTTTGACAGTATAAAGTCAATTTCATTTTTTATTTTACCACAAGGGGAGAGCCAAGTCCATTTGCGGTTTTTTCGAGCCTTAAAAAAGGAGTTCATAATTGACAGCTTATGTTCCAGTGCGTATTGAATTAGTTTTTCTCCTCTTTCATTTCTATTTCCGTAACCGAATTTTCCCATAACAAATTTTCACTGTCTTCAGTTTTCAGTTGGCCAACTTTTGCATTAAAATCACCGATTAAGAATACGCTTTCTCCTGTGTGACTATGCGCTATCTGTAGAGTTGTGTAGAACGAGTTGATCTCCTCATCTGTAGCTTTTTCAGTGGGTGCATATACTTGTATTATTGAAAGCAGTTGGTTGTTGCATTTTATTTTCAATAGAGCGACTCGTTCTGAGAACGCTGAAAAACTGACAATGTTATTCTTGTGTTTTTTGTTTATTAAAAATCCAACTCCATATTGGCCGAGTGTTTCACCTTTGTAACAAAATATATAATTTTCATGTTCTTCAATTGCATACCCCATTCTTCTAACTTCTGCTAAGCCAAGTATATCGATTTTTATTTGTTGCAACATATACGTTAGTTCTATAAAGCTTTTTGTTGTAGCTAGTGATCTTACATTTAATGTTCCAATTTTGAGGGTTGGTTGTAGTGGTTTTGTTATGCCAGTTGTTTTGGTTGCATTAGTTGTATTATTAATGTTAATTTTTGCTGGAGGGTTGTGGTCTTTTTCCCCCACGGGGACCAGCCGGCTTGGGGGAGGGTTGTTTGCTATTATTGATTTGTAAAGTTGTTTACAGATTGTTTTTTGATTCCGTTCGCCGATATCCAATTGCTATGATTTTTTGTCTCTTGAACAGGTTGTAGAGGTAAGAGAGTTGGACCTAGCTCTCATCATGTCATATACGTTCACTATCTCCTTCGATGAAGATGAAATTTGTTGTTTTTTTGGCTGAGAGTATTGCGGAGAAGTAGATACCTCCCTTTTTCTTTTCTCATAATATGTGTTTGATTTTTCCTTTACTATGAGTTGATCGTATTTTAGGTAAGCGATTTTGCCTTTATTCCTTTCTTCTGTTAATTGTGGTATTAGTGCTTTCCTCTTTTCTAAAATATCTTTAGAGTAGTCTTCTGTGAATGTTATTTCCTTCGACTTCTTCTTATTCCTTAATATCTCGTTTTTTTTCAATCCACTAACAAAGGATAAGAGTGTCGGCCTAGGTTTGTTACCTTTGATTTCTTTCCCTATACGATAAATCTTGTTTATTTCACAATCTTGAATATTTATATTTAATGTTTTCAAAAATACTTCCTTAGTATTTTTAAGCAGTTGCTCTGTAGTCTTTTCTCCCTCTTTCAGCCCGTGGACTATTATATTGTTGTTTTTTTTGTCTCTCTCTAAAGTTTCTATCTTTTTTTCCAAAAGCTCAACTTTAATTCTTAATTTTTTGTTTTCTTCTATCACAGGTTCTAATTTTTCACCATTTTTTTCCATAATAGTACTTGTTATAGAATCTGATTGGTTCTTCATTTCAGTTTTAATTTTTTCGAAGAATAGTTCAAATTGTTCATCCATATTTGCGTGGAATGGAACGTATTATTTAAGGTTATTTTAGTTTATAGCCTTGGCAGCACTGTACTGACGTTGATAGTTGCGTACGAGGTGACTTTGACAGGCTCTCAGTAGTTTTACGTTAGTGTGTGTGCTTTCTGGTTATAACAATATTCTAACCTCCAAATACTGTTGGTTTGTTTTCGTCCGTGTTTTTGTCCGTGTTTTTGTCAAATCCAATAGTTGTGTGGCGGTGACTAATTTCAACACTTCGCGGCACCTTCGTACTCACATTTAATAGTAATTTTTAACGAACCTTGCCTTGTATCTATTTATTTGTGCGATTATTTTCGGAGCGACAACACTATGACATGTATGAAACGAGTACCGGAACCGGAAAAACATATGATATATGATATATGACATAAATGAGGTTGAAGTTACAAATAAACTTTGCTTAACACCGTCTGTGGCAACCCTATCTCGCCGTCAGACTTTCTGCTCGTAAACGTGTCTATAGCACCGTCAGCGATATGATTTCGCATACTTTTCCACCTATGATCGTATGACCCTATTCGATATATTAAATTTGTGTCAGACTTTTCGTTTGTGAAGATAAAGTTCATTTTTTTATTTTATTTCATCCCGTGAATAGGTGAATGTGCTGATGATTCATTTGTTGTTAAATGGTTATCGGAGCTCACAAAAAATAATCATAATGCGAATGTCTCTTTCTTCTTTGAGACATGACTTCTTGAGCGCATGAAGCATGCATGAAGTATCAATCAATAGTACCTATAGCCGCCTGAACCTACAATTATTTCGTTTTACAACACAATGCCGGTAGCGTAACTTTTATCCGCATAAATCTTAAGTAAAAGCCGTATTTATGTTTGTTTGTTGAAACTATGAGGGAATCATTCTAAGCTGCTTATCGTATTTTCATATATATGGAGTTTTTCTTGAGAGTTTTGTGTGTCACAGAAAGATGATGTAATATATTTATTGTAAGCTCTCAATCAAGAGTAGATACGGATCAACTCCAAGTGAAATATACCTTCGACGCACGTTTGCTGGCAATCAAATCTAACCAACAGGCATACTAGGTGAGATTCTTTAGATGAAGTGGATTTAAAGAAGTTGTTTAATAAACTCACAAAATGTAACTTTTGTGCTATCGTCCGCAGCGTCTAAGGCTCGCCTGGAATCGACTGTGAAACCAACCGTGAGATCAACGGTGTCGTCAGCGGAAAGGATACTATATCAGCAATCACGGTGGGTGGTCTGTCAGCCTAGGCAGTGCCACTACCACTCGGTATATATTGTATATGGAAACTAATCTTGAAAATGTCGTGCAATTTAGGTTTTTGTTAAATATTTTCTATTCTATGATATCGTTACAATATTTAAAAAGGGATTTGTTCTAGCTTGGAATATGCCATATGCTTATACGCTTACTGTGTAAGAAAAGTATACATACGTATCATACTAATGACGCAGACGAAAATTGTTATTTTCAGAGTCTTAACTATTGAAGACAGAATACGTAAAGAAAATTTACTAAATAAAAATAAAATAGTAAATACTCAAATGTCACTACATCAGCTAAATCACAAGATATACTCAAATAAGAATGAAAACACAACAAAACCAAAATTTTCTGTGGCGACCATTATAGAATTGCGTTTTTCTTACAATAAAGCTCTCATACCAATGTAACTAACCATTTTCGTGTAATAAATATATCTAAAAGCCAGACAAAGAAGCAATAAAGCGTTAGTTTAGTAATAAACTCGATTTTTATTTCGCTGACCTACAGAGGGTTGAATCAGAAATAAGGGAGCAGTGACGTCATTCCCAATGAAACGACCTAGTAAAATTTGTAATGACCCTTCGGTTTGTGGTCGAGTTATATGGTATTGCTTTTTCAAATACGTCTTATTCATTTGAAGAATGTGATATACGGCTTTTAGAATATGATTTTTTTATTTATTGATCATTTTTTTTATATGTGCCAGAAAGATGGCTCGGTTTTTTTGAATATCGTTGTAGCTTTGGCAGAGTGGTTAGAACTTGTCCAGTTTAGAAGATGTGAGCTTACAACGCGTCCTGTTTTGACTATGAATTACGGAAATTTATGAACTTTTAGATTTTTATTAAAACGATTTTATTCATTCATCACGGAAGTCGTTTAAGCAGGAGTTGAAAAATGTTTTTCCGTCGAAAAATTGGGAACTGCCTGCGGTATTTAAATATGGCTTTCGTTCCATCGTTCGGTAATACACCGGACGTCTTATCCTTGAGACTACGACGACTGTTTACTATTTCCAAGTATCCCTTCTACTAATTCCCATTTACCAAGCACCTCCACATTTTTCTTTTTCTTTCCGACCAGCAGTTTTTGAGTCTTAGTTTGAATTTCATGAAGAATGTTAAAACCGTGTGATGTTTTATTATTGTGAGGTATGTTGTGCGTTGGTTGAGTGGTCCTCCGGAAACCTCATCAGAGTGGTCAATAAAACACTAAATATATGTAAGTATAGTTACATGTTTATTCGCGTCAGTGACCGCGGTGGTACGCTGCACGTTGACCACTGATGCATACAGCTCATTATTACAACTACATAGTAAGCTTAGTGGGGCGGGGTATCATTCCCCTACACCGTTTTGTCAGTTTTCAGCAATATATAACGATTTTAACTGCACCTCTGGGATTGCTGATTCCAAGAGCAACGGCGACCTCTCATCATGGTGCTCATCTGCCATCGACATGCCTGCGATGAAAGGTTAAAGGCACATTTTCTAAGAGTAGCCACACAATTAATTTGGCAAATACAATAAATGAAATGTTCAAGTTAATTGTTCGGAATTCCTGCGGTCTCGTAGGCGAGGCGAGTCCGGACTCCAGAGGACGGGCCGCTTCCTGTACAGTCGACGACAAAGGGACAGAATTAGAATTCAATTGTCGAGTGTATTCCGATGCTGTTTGGGTTTATTAGTTTTTGTTGCTCTCATTTAATATTGGACATAGATTCCGAATCATGAGGGTTTTTGTTTTTAGATATCAATTTGTAAATAAATTTGAAAAGTATTAAGGTGATATTAAAGTTACCTACTAGTTTTTACCGTAGCACAGTGGTATCTAATTCTGCCGCAGTGGTACGACACCGTGTGAAGGGACATATTCCAACGAAACTGAAGCTGAATTTTATATTTTTTATTATTGCATAGGTAGGTGGACGAGCTTACGGCCCACCTGGTGTTAAGGGGTTGTCCTGAATACGGTCTAGAAATACGGCCACCTACCTTGAGATATGAGTTCTGAGGTCTCAGTATAGTACGACTACGTCACCCTTCAAACCGAAACGCATTACTCCTTCACGGCAGAAATGGACAGGGTGGTGCTACCTACCCGTGCAGGCACACAAAATGTCCTATCACCAATAAAGATTTATATATAATTGAAACCGCCCTAGCCTAAAGAATAAAAAAACCTAAACATATCGCTACCGGACTTCACAGGATTAAAATTTCAGTTTAATTAATGAGGAGCATCGATAAAATCGGATGCGAAAGTTACGTGAACCGGTTTGGTTTAGGCGACGATTACACACACGGTCTATCTGCGCGTTACGTATTAAAATATTGAGGTCTCGCGGGTATTTCGTGTGACAATCAATTCCAATTTATTAGGAATTATTTTAAAGAAAAAATACTATTACAGTTTATTCCATCGGTAACTATTCTACTGTTTGGTAAAAATCAGTTCGTTACTGTGGACACACTAATTGCAGACATGATTTTTGCTCTTGAAAATAGAATTTATTCTTTCATTATTGGCCTCATAAATATTTACTCGTAGACGCTATTAAGACGGTGGTACTAACTTGTCTGGACTCACTACTGCTTATAGTGAAATTTCATTGTTTATTTGATTATTGTTCATTGTGGATGTTTCTCTTTAACGGTTGTTGAGTCCATCATTATTGAAGATGTATCGTGTTTGTTTGAAGACTGAACTAGGGCTTAACTTCATTATTATAAGTACACAGTAAGTATTGCCTATTACGCCAGAGTAGTTTTAATGAGCTGTGAATTTGTGGTTCGTTATTTAATCTTCTGTTAGCGTGAAATTTGCAATTAAAATAAATAAGAGTCAAACACACTATTTTATAAACACTTATAATGTTTTTGTATTGTATATCTATACTAATATTATAAAGAGGAAAGATTTATTTGTTTGTTTGTATTGAATAGGCTCCGAAACTACTGAACTGATTTGAAAAATTCTTTCACTGTTTGGAAGCTACACTATCCCCGAGTGACATAAGCATATAATATTTTTTGAAAAAAATTAGGGATCGTTACTAAAACTCCAATAATGTAACCCAAGGTGAAAAAAAATTACCTAAAATATTCTTTACATCGCGTGCCCTGCGGAAACTATTGATGATAGAATAAAATAATGTACTACGACTTTGTAGAGCATATTATTATTTACAAAAAGTGCCGAGACAGCACATTTCTAACTATTATAGTTATGCCGCAATAAGTGTTCTTTTATTAAAAAAAATAAAACAAACAACAAATATCCATGAACATTTTGTTGGCCCGAGCGGAGCCGGAGCGGGCCGCTGTAGTATTATAATTTTAACAAGAAATGAAGATAACGAAGCTAGGCACTAGGTGATATAAATTACTATTACGAAGACATAATTTTTAGGTTAAACTTAAATTGGCGCGCGAATCTTGTCGACTGATGTCAGGTGACAGCTGCGTGTTCGGGAATTCCGATTGCGTCCGATGACACCCGAGTATGATTTGATGTGTTGCCCGCTACAAATTTATAGTCGGCTTGTATTAGTACTAGAAGTCGACCATGATCACTCGGGCTTAAATTCATAGAAATATTTAGTCGCAAATAAAATTATGGTCACTGTATTCCTGATGTGTTTAAGTATATTGAAATTTGTAAGCCAACTTGTATTGAGCGCGTTAAATGTATGAAATGTGGGATTGCAATGAAATTCACGTAATCTATATGCTTTAGAGTTCGTGAAGCGCTTAGGGTTATCAAAGTAAAGCAACAGTGAGTTTGGTTTGGTTTCATTTGCTTAATAGGCATAAGCAGATCCTTTTTATTGCCCTTGTAGGCACTCGAGCATACACCCACCGGATGGTAAGTGGTTACCGTCGCCCATGGACTTCAGCAATGCCAGGCGCAGAGCCGAGCCTCTGTCTACCGTTCAGTACTCTCCACAAGCCTCGTTTAAAGAAGGGCATGTCATGGCGCTCGGGAAACACCGTAGAGAGGAGTCGATTCCATAGCCAGATGGTACGTGGCAGAAAAGATCTCGAAATGTCGTTTTTATTCCATTA